GTAAATTTCTTAACTCAGCGTCCCATTAAGTTTTGTGCGATAATTACCCAATAATCCATAGAACGAAATGCACAAATTTCTCGGGAGTTGACATTGTTTTATTGCTATAAATCTTCCAGATCTTTGTAGCTATCTGCAATCAAAAAGTTACTTGGTATTCTTACTTAAGCTTGCGTGCGTTTACCAGAAACGTTGAAGATCACCTGAAAATGACAATCTACTTGAAAACTCATTAGGTATAAAGAGCGGTGTTCTTCAAAAAAGAAAAAAAAGAAAGAAAAGAAAAAGAAAAGAAAAGAAAAATGCGCAAACGCGTTCATTTACCATGTCAACAGCACTTGTTCAACATCCTCCTACCGGGCGGACATTTTTTTTTAAAGAAAGAAATGAGCGAAAAAAAGTAAAATTGCTTAAACGTATTCAGGCTCATGCGCGATACAACGACAAACACTTGTTCAACATCTTTCTGGCCGTCACTGGGGAGTCTTTTGAACAATTACGTAGACGACCGGCTCTCGGTTTGGTTTAAGGTATGCAAGCTCATGTACCCGCGTGGCACACAGACGAACATCAAAAGTCTAGGGACGGTTTGGGTTTCAAGGTTATAAGACAACGAGATAGCTAAACTAGTATTCATTTTTTTCTCATTAAAATTTTGAAAAATGCATAGATAAAAACCTCCATGTAATATGGATAACTTTTGTTGATAATGATAAATGTAATTAATATTAATCAACAGTGGTGTGGTTGTGCGAAGAGGCGGTTGGTGGGGGTTGGGGGGGGGTGGTATCCAACACCCACGTAGTACACATCCTGAACATAGTTGAATTTATTTCCTTGTTTAGTGACTTCATTTAGGGTCCATGCCGGTGTAACAGGGATGGTAGTCCTAGTGATGGACGGCCGGACTCCCATATGATTAGTACATGTTAGGGTTAGTTGGAGTATTGGGGTTAGTATATGGGACGAACGTCACCAGTTCAAAGTAATGGGTAGGGGACTACGGTTCCTAGCGGACTACCATTCCTGTATCACCGGTCCATTTTATGGTGTCTGGTCACACTTTAGAAGTGCGCCTACATCACGTTGTATAACCCTTTTCCCTAGCTTTTGAAGGATTGATTTTTCATTTTAAAAAAACCTCCCGATTTGTGCAAATTATGCATCCTCACAGTCAAAAGGTTGACGAACATTTGTTTTAAGTCCTTTCATCTGGTTATTCTAATTAACATATGTTTTTCCTGTGTATGATTGAAATGTGTGCGTGCTCTTTGGGCCATCTTACGCCGTCGCTGTGGGTAAATTGAATGTAGACCAGGTGAATTCTTCACGTTCGCTTTTCTTTAATTGAAACGATGAGTATTAGAACCCTAATTACGGAGTTTTTTTAAAGAAAGCAGGGGTTATTTTTCATACAAAGACCTTAAAGTTTTTATTCTTTTTTATGATGCTGACGCTGTTGATTATTTCTTTTCTAAGTACAATTAAAGCAGTCTCTGATATCGAATTATATAAAAAAAGAAAATCCAGAATGGTACCGAAAGCAATGCAAAAACAAAAAATTAATATAATAAAATAATCAACATATCTGGAATCTTCATTATAAAGCAACGACTGATTATAATATTGAAATAGAAAAGGGTATTTTTATTAATTCAAAAAGATGAGATGGTTTAGCAAGAGCTAACGCGGTATAAAATTGGATAACAGAGCGTGAAAGGTAATTTTTGAAGTAAAGAATTATCTCTCTGGACGTCATTCGAAATAAGTCAGTGAAAGATAGAGCTTCACAATAGCTTATCGTAGACAAATATCTTTATGGTCATTTTTGGTCTCAAAGGCTGCCATTACTGCCCGAAAGGGCTGCGTCTATAAAACATATTATTTTGCTACCCTTTGATTTCAGGGGCCTCTTAAATAGTACACAAAATTAAAGTATAGGCGATACAATAACTTTGTAACAGACTAAAACTAGTACAAGCGGGACTGTGGTCAGAGAAAATATTTTGCTTTTTTTTTTTTTTTTTTTTTTTTTTTTTTTTTTTTTTTTTTTTTTTTTTTCATTAAGACCATGGCAGCGATGCACTTGTCTGCAATTAAACTTCTATGCGAAGTTCCTGCTGAAGCAAAGCATTCAACAGCACTGTACTTTCCATACATGCATCTTAACAAGCAAAATGAGGAATCTAATGATTTATCCAAAATATACAACTTGTCTGTTTTCTCTCTGAATAATAAAGCGAGCTATCGAACGTAATATATCGCTGGGTTACGCGTCGTCAATAAAAGTTTTAATTTCACTCCAACACATGTCGAAAGCACACGAACACGCGAAAAGTGTGATGGAAATATCGTTCATCCACAGTCATGTACACATGCGACTATCTCAAGGAAATCGATTTTTGTTGTAATTTTAAGATCTCGAAATGGACCGCTCTTCAACCGTGTCTGTTCTTCGCACCGAAGACAATTGTCAGAGAGATGATGTATTTGGCCATCAAACCTTTTTTTTTACATTTTCTTCCTTTGATTTACCCCTAAAGAAATATTTGTAAGTCCCAAAATAGCACAAAATAGTTTATGCAAACTGTCAAGAAACTCGTGCCTAGGGAACATTATCTGCCCATCCCTATTAACGTGGTAATAATGTTGCTAAAAACCAAACACAGATCGCGAATACAATTTCACCGTTGGAGAGAAGAGTTTGATTTATTTAGACAGTTGCCATAAATAAAAATTTAAAAGACTAGTTTGGAAGTTAAATAAGTGGACGTCCCCTGTTCTAAATTTTGTTTTATATTTTAATTGCGTATATGTGTCCAGCCGCATAAAGAATAATATCTTATCACAAATTTTATAAATATAAATACAAATAAAAAATATGAACAGTACACGAAAAAATAGTGAGGTATAAAAATGATAAGTAACACTCTCTAATATTCAATATTGCTCTTTTACATCTTTTACATTTTAATTAAAATCTTCAAGTAAGATTTTTTCACTGGTCATTTTAACCTGACCAATTTCTCATACCACAGTAAGACCTATAGTCTCAACCAATATTGCACATGCAACTGTTATACAGCAAGTTTGCTAATATTGTAGAATTCAAAATCCATCAGTTTTGTAATAGGTTATTATTAAAATAATAGCTACTGCAGTTAATGGGAATTAAGATAGAAATGCTTGGAATGCCACAGTAAATGCCCGTATTTGATCAACATTTTAAGGTAACATCTCTGAGAGAGAGAGAGAGAGAGAGAGAGAGAGAGAGAGAGAGAGAGATCAACACGAAAATGAAAGACAGCAACGAGATTCAAATAATTCACCACATATCAAATAAACGCGACAAGGCCAGTGACTAGAAAAAATGGGAGGGGCAAAAATCCAATTAAACCTCGTCGCACTTCAATTTAATTCACAAGGCTGATCACTGGATGTATTCCTGATTCGATATGACACTTAAATTATCGCTTAATGACTCCCTGACTTGTATTTACACTGAGGCCCTCAGTTCCGCCTGATGAACTGACGGCAGGACGCCTCTGACATTACACTATTAAAAACCGACCCCATGCCACTCTGCGTCTTATTAGCAACCAACTCATAACTCATTCGCATTGTTATCGCGCCCTAGAAGTATCATCGTGACCCCGGTTGTATTCTTTTCGTTCCGCTCCTCCGGCGGCCATGCCGTGACATCGATAAAGCACACAAAGCATGTCCGGTTGAGTGAGGCAAATGAAGCCAAGCGATGCTATAATCTACTTCATTATAATTAGACCATCTTCTTCACTTGGAGGAGTCGATATTGATATTCTTGTTTTCTTCGAAGTGAAAGGGTTTCTCGCATTTCAGGGCGGGACGAATGACATCGAGTGGAAAGGATTTTTTATGATCAGACGACAGTGGTTCGGACCAGACGACAACCGACTCGACCAATCACAGAGCACAGTCAGGTGGGTATGGAGTTATGGTCCGTGCATATAGCGGGGCA